AAGTGTATAGGAGCAGACCTCTTCCCGTAACGGATTCTACTCAAACTTGGCAGCTACCTACGTAAGCCCCGGCTAAAAATAAGGACATCAACAACAAACTTATTGACAGATCCCATCCAGGAAGAAAGAGAATCACGGCGGCCCATGGAGCGCTACTTCTCCACGGACGTGTTGGCAGACATCCTGCGGCGGCTGCCGCCGAGCTCCCGCCGCCGGGCACGTCTCGTCTGCCGTCACTGGCGTGACGTCGTCAACAGCCGCACCACCGAGATGCAGAGCCGCGCCAGCCCCCTCATCTGGGACCCCAGAAGCGGCATCGCGTACATCATCGACGACCTGTCTTCATCGGCGGCCGCTGTGGAAGAACGCCGCGAAACGCACATACAGCGATAGCTCGGTGCAGCTGGTCGGCACGTGCAACGGCCTGCTCTGCCTCTGCGACAACGAGTAGCGCGCCGGCGGCGCCGTCACGGTCGTCAACCCGGCCACCGACGAGACTCTCGCTGTCCCGGCGCTGCCGTGCGCGGCACAGCTCGTCGGGCGCACCACACAGACAAAGCGGAGCGAGACCAAGGCATGGCACGAGGCCTACAGCTTCGCGTACCATCCGACGACGGGGAAGTACAAGGTGGTGCATGTCCCGTGCAGCTACGAGCGGGTCTGCGAGTTCGACGCCGTCCACTTGCTCACGCTCGGGGAGGCCACGTGGCGGGAGGTGCCTGTGCATGCCGGCCCGGGCTGCCCCAAGTGCGACCTCGCCGCCGCCATCGTCAACATCGATGGCATGGCCTACTGGCTCTGGGTCACGCCTACTGAATCAATGTGAAATAAAAAGGAAATTACAATTTAGAGACGAGAAAACTTGAGTCTCTATATGATATATATACTTAGTCTTGCGAATATCCCTGATCATACATGCATACGTAAGAGTTCAGATGATGAGCTTCAGATGCTCGGTCTTCAAAGGCAAGCCCATGGTTTTGCCTACCCTCCGCCTGGCTCCGGCTAGTAGATTGGTAGAGTTTTAGTCCTCGCAAGGCCAACACTCGGTAAGGACAGATGACGGTGCTTCTTCTTTGAGTCATTCTTTCATGCTCCAATCATCCCCATGTTCGTCTGTTGCGGCAGATTAGTCGAAGCACCGGCGTAGATTCCTACAAACTCCTTGCGGCAGCGAGGTTAAAGTTTCCCGCCGTGCGTACGCCACAACGAAATTTGGTGTCAGGTTTTTTAGATTGATCCAAGGATTCAACGACGACGGCTGCAGCTCAAGGTGCTGCTTCTTAGGGGCACATGCACGAAGACTTCACAGCTGTCATCGATAATGTCAGGTAGGCTCCATTATGGGAGCGGCGCGTCGGCCACGGCAATGGTCGTTCGGTAGTCCATGAATTGCAATGTAATTTTTATTATGTATAAGGTGCTTTGTACTTCCGGCGGTTCTTTATAATAGATCTGATCCTCCTCGGAGAAAAATCTGCCTCTGCATCTCCTTTCAGGTCAGTGAGACCACCCTTACCTTTACGAATTTCCCTGAAGTCAAGGATTGGGTAAACCCTCTCCCTCCACCCAATCCCCCACTCGCCCCTTCCCCTACAACCCCTGCTACCATCTGCATTCAATTAAATCTCCAGCAGCAGCGCGGCCCCAAGCATCCTATCAAATATATGTACAGCAAACAACACTAAGAGAGGAATTTCTAGTGGAGCTGGTCTCTACCAGATAGGCTGCTGCCGCGGGATCACGCCATGAGATTTGTGTTGTATTCGAGCGGTCAATGCTCGGAGGTTAGCTTGCATGCCCAACTGCTACCAATATGTATAGATGTACATATACAATAGCGTATACAAACCGGCAGGACGTTAATATCTCTAGGTTATTGGACTTTCCATCGCGGGGCACTATGACCTCATTGGACGTCTAGCGGCTGATAGAGGAAATTTCTCAATTCCGGCGGTGGCTACATGGAGGCGGAGTTCAATGCGGGGATGACCTTGGCGAGGTGAGTAAATCTATATGACAATGCTATTGTCAGCATTGTGCTACTGCAACTTTCCTATTTTTGAGTGTTGCTACAATTAACTGGGTATCTGCGGTAAATTTCCTGCATCTATAGGTTTGGAAGCCGGTTTTGTTCTGAAAGTTCTATTCATGAGATGAATTTTCTTGATTCATCAATGACATTCACTCAACTGCTGCAAAAGCTGGCACTTTCCATCATCGCCGAGATACCTATGAGAAGTGTACGCTAATCCTGTTTAACTTACCCCTGACAGTTGTATTTACTTTTGGTTTTTTGGTATAATTGAATTAATTTGTTTTTATGTACAATCATGTACAAATTTAATTCAAAAGGTGATTCTTTCATTAGTTCTGGCAGACAATCTAAAGAGTGGGGACACTTAAAGGTTACCAACAAAATTGATTTAGATGAGTAGAACGAGTACGCTTTAGAAAATACCAACATTCCCTCACATGT